GTTTCTGTCCATCTGGTCAGTTTTGACATCAGGCCTAGTCCACTACATAGCCATGATGTTGTGATTGCTTCAGATTTTGGTCTGGCATTATCGTGTTGAAAAATGCAGGGTCTTCCCTGAAAGAGATGACGTCTAGATGGGAGCATATGTTGTTCTAGAACCTGAACATAGTTCTCTGCATTAATGGTGCCTTTCCAGACATGCAAGCTGCCCATGCCACAAGCGATCATGCAACCCCATACCATCAGTGATGCAGGCTTCTGAACGGAGCGTTGATAACAACTTGGGCTATCCTTGTCCTCTCTGGTCTGGATGAAATGGCGTCCCAGTGTTCCATAAAGAACTTGAAATCATGACTCATCTGACCAGAACAGTCTTCCATTTTGCCACACTCTATTTTAAATGACCCCTGGCCCAGTGCAAACATCTGAGCTTGTGGAGCTTGCTTGGAAATGGCTTCCTCTTTGCACTGTAGAGTTTCAGCTGGCAACGGCGGATGGCACGGTGGATTGTGTTCACTGACAATGCTTTCTGGAAGTATTCCTGAGCCCATTCTGTTATTTCCTTGACAGTGGCATTCCTGTTTGAGGTGCAGTGACTTTTAAGGGCCCGGAGATCACGAGCATCCAGTAGAGTTTTACAGCCTTGACCCTTACGCACAGCGATTGTTCCAGATTCTCTGAATCTTTTGATGATGTTATGCACGGTTGATGATGATAACTTAAAAGTCTTTGCTATTGCCAGCGACCCCCGTGACCCAAAATGGAATAAACGGGTAAAGAAAATGGATGGATGGGATAGCTTTAACCTTCAGTTTCACTAATACTAGAAGCTGCGTTCTGCTGAGTGTAGCCCTCAGATTGTGGTCCATTGCTGATGTTTTTGAAGCTATGCTCTTATGCTAATAAGAGAAGGTTTAGCTATTATTCACCCGCTTAAAGTGAGCTAAGTTGGGCCCAGATCTGATGTCAGAGCGAAAAAAATTGGGTTTTCCCTGGGAAGCATGAGAGTGTGCTGCTTGTATGTGCACCGCCATCTTGCATTTAAATATATACTAAATATTTATACTAAACAAAGTAAGACTTTTTTGTTGTTGACCTTCACTTTTAGTACCAGGATAAAACTTTTGTAGTTTTTTGAAGATATGTTGAAGGAAGTCCCAGTGCAGCAGAACAAAGTTTCTTTTTCAGTCACATCTTCCCAAAGTCATTAGTAATTTTCAATAATGAAAAAAGAGACAGTCCTAATATGTAAATGTAAAAAAAAAAAAAATTATAAATAAAATTCTAGTTTATCATGGCTGCGCTATCTTTCAGGTTCTCCAGGGCAAATGGGCCTCCAGCTACATGCCCGCTAGCTTTGGTTACTCCATGACTGGAAATACTGACATAGACCAGAATGGATATCCAGGTACGCACACACACACACGCGCACACGCACGTACGCACGCACGCACACACACACACACACACACACACACATGAACATGTGCATGAAGAGGCGCAGCAAGGACCCCACATGTTGCTATAATAAAAACTGTTTCCTGCAGATTTAATAGTTGGAGTTTTTGGAGCAGACAAAGCCGTTTTATTCAGGTAATCAAATCTAAATCTTGTTTTATTGTGCCTGGTGTAGTGCGTGTGTGTGTGTGTGTGCACGCGTGTGTGTCTGATGCTTGGAACAGAAGCTGAAAGTTTTAATGAGTGAGGCCACCTCTGATATCAAAGAGCTGCTGTTGTTCATTCATTTGACCCCCACTGTCTTTATAGATGTTATAAGGACACGTTGAACTCCTTCTGTTCAAAGAAACATTCAGACTTATGGTTTGCTCCACTACTGGTTGACTTAATAACGTGGTATCACTTTCAGCAAAAATAGAAAAGCATGTAGTTATTATTTATTATTTCTGACTTTACTTTCTTAGTCACAAACTAGGAAAATGTATATTTTTAAAAACCGACATTTTGGCACAGAACTCTCCAAGTTGGTCATTAACTGCATAAACATGATACTCATTTATAGCTTGTTTATCTTTCATGATGAGGACACGAATGTCAAAGATGTTTTCTTATTCTTCTGAGTATCACAGCAGTCACAGTAAGGGCCATGATCACGCTGCATACAGAAGCTGCTGTCAGGCAAGTTGACTGTGTGTTTGTGTGTAGAGCTCGTCCCGTCATCGGTGTGAATGCTACGTTAGACATCACCCCCCAGATCATCAACCCGGAGGAAAAGACCTGCAAGATTCCTGGTACCAGCACGCTCGTGTCATGGTGAGTTTTCATGTGTCACCTGAAACAGCCTCATTCAGTGTGTAAGCTGCTTCCACACGCACAGTTTTATATTTCATTACAAATGTTCGCATATTTTCATTTGTTTGTTACATGGAACAAAAAGTGCAGAAATTAAATAAATTGTGTTGAACTTCAAGTTTAATGATGTGCATGTAACGTTCATGTTGTTACCGTAATTTATGGACTATTGAGTGCACCTGAATACAAGCCACGCCCACTAAATTTAAAAACAATTACAATTTTGTACATATATAAGCTGCGGGTGTCCATGTTGTAACATGAGAAATTTACACAGAAAGACTTTTTAAAACGTTTAATTAAGTGCGTACCGTAACATACACAAATATATAGAGTAAATGTTTTTTTCTGAACAGTGCCAGTAACACGGCTGGTTAAAAACCTAAAAGTACAGCAGCCCACCAGGAAGTCATTGATCACTGTCTTCATCTTCCTCCTGCGCAAGCTTGTGCTGTGCTCTTCATCACGCAGCAACCTTTCCAAACCTTTTCGACCCCCTCCCACCCCCCACCAAAAACAGGGACATGGGGAACAAAGCCTCCCCCCACTCCCTGCTCTCTCCTCCCCTCCCCATTTCATTCAAGTTCAAGTTGTGCTTATTTGTCATATGCAGATTAACACAAGGTTAACAGTACCATGAAATGTTCAGGATGAGAAGAAACGATTGGACTCGCTAAAAAACAAAGAACAAAAAAACAAGAACAAATACTAAAGCATGCAATAAGGGTACAAAACAAAGTACCAAAAAGTGAAAAAGTTATAATATTTACAAGGTCCTAAAGAGAAATGGTAAACAACAACATGGTATAATATACTGTGCAGGTAGGATGAATTTGTATGAATAAGTATTTGAAGGTATTGATATTGTTTCATTCAACCTTTATTTCTACAAGTTAATCCCATTGAGCCTCGGGGACTCGTTTACAAGAGAGACCTGATTTAACAAAGAGTGACAACAACAGTGGACGACAGACAGTAATAGACAATCATAAAGGATGTGTACTGGTACTAAAAAAATGTAACAACAAAAACAGCTAGATTATAAGGCGATGTAGAAAACTAAAAACAGGAACATGTCTGCGTTGGTTTTTGCCAGGAACTTAGCAGATGTTTGAAGCCACTTGACTTTTGGGGACACTGTGCAGCTCTGTGAGCGCCCAAGTTTGACGTGGGTAAATATTTTGGCGGCACGAAACGCGTTAATAAGTTGTATAAGCTGCAGAGTTCAAAGCCTGTGAAAAAACTAGCGGCTTATAGTCAGGAAAGTACAGACTAAAAACTGAAAGAATCAGGCTTCTTTTTCTGGGATTAGTGTTACAGGTGACTATTTGTTTTGCAGTTTTAAGGTGAAGTACTGTCTGGCTGCCTTTGGCATCGGGGCTCCACAGACCCTAAGTGAGTAAAACCTGCTTTTTCAGTCATCAAAGTGACAATTGCTGCTTTCACACCTGTTAATTTTCTGCTGTTTGTCATCATTTTCTCAGATTTTCGTGTTGATATCACATTGGATCGTCTGAAGCAGAAGGAGGCAACCAAACGTGCCCTGTTCCTGCACAGCCAGACCTTTCAGTACACTAAGAACACAACGGTGAACAATGACAGGACACTGGCCTGTGAAGAGCAGGAAGTCTTCCTGAGGGTAACTTTTAGATTGACCTAATAATCAAATGACTATGAAAAACTTTTTATTCAGGTCTGATGCATCTCTTCAAAATGACATGACACACAGGTGGCAGGTCATTTAGATGTTAAAAAAATGAGCAAACAGCATTTTGCATTTCTGATATGTAGAAATCACACATTTAGGGCAGGGGTGCCAACAAGTCGATCGCGATCAACCGGTCGATCTCAAAGGTATTACAGGTAGATGGCATTAAAAAAATAGACGTCAACCTATCATCCATCTCACTATGTAATTTTCTCTTGATTGACTTACAGGGCATCCAGTCTGAGGCCCTGTTTACACGACGTGAAACGTGCGGCCATTCATTTACATGACAACAGCCCTCATTCTCGCTGATGTGCCGTTTACACAGCGTGCATTTTGAGTGAAACTACCACTTTTTTCTTTGTGGTTCGGCTGTTCATTTGTGCCTCTTTTCCATTAGTTCCATTAGTACCATTAATACCGATGCAGCATGGTTCGACTCGGCTTGGCGTGGTATGAGTTGTGTTTCCACTATACTTTCAGTAATGGTTCTAGTGGGCGGGTTCAGCTCCAAACCCACAGGAGCATGCGAGGCTGGAGCTCGGGTGGGCCCATCCTTGCGCTCTCCTGTGGGTCAGCAGCACGGAGAATCCGTGGTGACCGGCGGAGCTCTGAGTCGGGGAGATGATGCCCTACCCGGCCTGAGTGGGCTCCGAGGCTCCGGTGGAGAGGACCAGGGAGACCAGCAGAGCTTCATCTAGCTCGCTCTGAATTTTGTTGTTGGCCACCAATCACCTAAAACGTCTGCACTTCAGCATTAGACCACGGTGTTGTCATTATTGTTTTTAAAATCTTAAAAATAGATCCAGTCACTCCTCGAGTTCGAGTCATTGTAAAGGGCGAATTGAGTTGTAGTGAAAGTTTCTCAAACAACCAGTGACTCCACCCCCTGACCAATCAGTGACCGACAGTGTTCTGACGTCACATTTTAAGGCCAGTACGGTACACTTGGAACCTCAGAGGAAAAGGTTCTGAAAAGGGGCTGGTTCTATGAATAATTGCTAGAGGAAAATCCTTAGAACCGTGCAGAGTTGAACCATGCTGTACCGATACTAATGGAAAAAAGGCTTTACACAACACCCCCCCCCCCCCCCCCCAAATCCGGAGGTTTTTCAACCCACCTCTCAGAGTGGAGGTTTTCTGGGAGACCGCCCGCTGAATGTGTGAAACGTCCCGCAGACGTGTTAGAGCACATGCGCACTACAGACATGTTTCACGCACGCGCGGACTGACGGCATATTTCTGTCAAGAACAATGGTGCCAGAGTATAACGCACTGCTTTCTGAGCTATGACTGATGGAGTATATTTTGGGTCTCGTAGTTTTAATCTACTGAATGAAGGGGCTGTGACCGACAACTGTCATGGGAAGAGATGCCAGTCGGATCCAGTTTAGGGCTGCAACAACGAATTGATAAAATCGATAAAAATCGATGATTAAAAGCGTTGGCAACGAATTTCATTATCGATTTGTTGTGTCACGCGATTTTGCGTCTTTCACGGCGCTGCGGAGCCGTTTTGTTCATGGGCTGTTCATTGTCAATGCTGACTGACTGAATAAAGTTTGAAAAAAAACAAACTCTGCAGCTCGAGTTGAACAGAGCGAGGGGGAGGAGGAAACAGAGCAGAGGCTGTTTTCAAAGAAAATAAGTAAATTTTACAAATGACCAACGCAGAGAAAACTGTTCGACCCAAGTCCTCCAGAGAGTGGGAGAACTTCACAAAGATAAAAAATGAGAAACATGCAGCTTTGAAAAGTGACGACACGACACGGAATAACCACAGAGATGAAACGTAAACATGTCGGAGTCACGAGGAGGAGGAAGGAGCTGCAGCAGATACAACTCGTGTTGCAGGTGAGTCTCTACAATTTAACACATTGTTCTGTTTCAAGAGAGAAAATGTAACGTCAGTCTGTCTGGTAGATGAAGCTGTTTGTTTGTTTTTTGTTTGTTGGTTAATGACGGTGATAGAGAACGTGTGTTACTTTTTATTTAATTTAATTGGAACAAGCAGTGTTTAAATGTGGTTTATAAATAAATCTAACACAAAGATAATAATTTAATGATTAAGCTTCAACTTTTAATTTGTTTGCAAAGTCTGAAGACACTGCAGGTATGGCAGGATGAATTGCATTTAAACAGGAATTAAAGTAATTTATTACATCTACTCAAATGTGTGTAATTAAGTATTTTATATATATATATGTGTGTGTGTTTAATTGCTCTTTTAGCTACTTTTGCCTGAACCTAACACTGTAAGTGAAACAAGGCATTTCTTGAGTTGCTGTAAATTATGTTATAATACATATTTACTGTCTCATTCCAGAAAACAACAACAACAAACAACAACACTTCATGATGGACAGACATCATGGACACCACAGCAGCAGCTGTCTTCACTGAAACATCCTTAAATGATCATCACTGACATGAGGCCTCTGTTGATGGTTGAAGACTAAGGTTTCACTACAATAATCCACACTTTTAATCCAGGTTACAATAATCCACACTTTTAATCCAGG